AATAAATATGAAGACGTTTTAGTTGCTATAAAAAAAATGTTTCAACAGTTATTCGAATGTTTTTCTAAAACTTCTTCTAATACATTCATTTATGAAGATTTAGTTAATCAAGTTGTAAAGATTCAAATTGAAATAATTATGATTTACAATCATCTGTAGAAAGATTTCCAAATAATTCTCAATTTATAACATATGGACATATTTCTATTCATTTTCAATGTTCTAAGAAACACAAATTTCAATTACAAGTTCGTTTAACAGATAATTTCAATGAGATAAAAAAGAAACTTCGACAACAAGAATATTATTTTCATGATTTACAGTTATGATATCACTGACACATGAATCATCATTGAATAATCCTATGCTAATGAATATGCTTAATATTCCTTTTCTTTTCTTCTTAAAATGAGAATAAACATTACGAGTTATTTTAGTCTTACTTAAATATAATTCACATATACACAATGCATGTTTTGTGTATTGATTTCTGAAACATTCATTTAGATGTGAATTTACATTAAGGCAGTTGAGGAGAAAATAATTGTAGTTATTTAGTATATTTCAAAAGCAAAAAAAAAAGAAAGAGTTCGAGAATGATTAATGAAAACGTCGTTGAATGAAATTCTGATATTTTTGAATCGATTTTTGATATTCTTTTCTGTAAAATTTTGATGGTAAAACAAAGATAAGGAAAGTGATCATAGGAGGAATAAAAGACATAAAATATCCACAGAGAAATAACCACGAATCTCGTGTAGAATTCATACATTTTGATAAATATGAAAGAATTAAACGTGGTAAGGCGAGCAGAAATAAAACTATCGGTGCAATCAACAAATGTTGATGTTCTCGAAATTGTTTCCATAATGTTTGTTTATCATATCGATTTCCATAAAGATGAGATTTTCGATGAGATTTTTTTGTAATTAAAATAATCGATGAAATGAAATTAATAAAAAATGGTGCAAAGAAATGAAATGTATTTACAATTCGATTATAAATTTGTAATTTTGATGAATAAATGAGAAGACACCAAATTCTTTTCTTATCATTATTTTCATTTTCTTCTTCTGAGAAATGTCGATAGATTGGATCATGAATGGATGTGCAAATGATTAAAATTAAAAGAATAATCAGACTTTTCTTTGCTAATCTTTTACTTTTNCAAATACAAATGGATCGTTTGTCACTTAATATACCAACACATAAAGAATTAGATGAACAATTACAATCATGTTGAATATGACAAAATTCTCCTGACCATCCTTGATCACATTGACAAAATGTTTCTTTGTTATTCAAATATTTTATACACTTTCCATGTTGACATTGATGAGTTGAACATGTGGATTTTTTATGATAATTTAACAGTGGAATGTCTGCAATGAATGCCAAACGATGAACTGGTAAGAAGAGAAATTTGACAAGATAAAGAAAACTTCCTCGATATGTGAGAGAAGATTTCTCATAGATATCGATATGTATTGAATAATTTCTATTCATATCTTTTGGTCGATTCGTATAAAATAAATGAATATTAAATTTAATTTGACAATCTCGTAATGATAAATAAGTAAATTGTTCATAAGAATGAATAATTCGTTGATTTGTATCATCAATAAGTAAAACTAATATTGCAAATGGAATTTTCCATGATTCTGTTCGAACATGAAATCTTATTGATAAACTTAAACGTTGATTTTGATATTGACATTGATTACCGTAATAACCTGGTGGACAAAGGCATGTACTTGTAGAAGAATCTGTTGATTTATTTAACCAAACACGTAAATCAAGACCATGATGACAACGAGGTTCATCAAGTAATGGAATCGGGTCATCATCATCTAGAGTGATTGTATTGATAACTTCTTTTTCATCCGGTTCATCTTCCCATGATTGATTAAAATCATTAATACGAAAATATCGTCTCTCTATCTTACGATTCGTTTTTAAACCTTCACAGAAAAATTTTTCTACATCACTTCTCAATACTCGATAGTTCTCTTGACAAATACTATCAGATATCGATCGATTTTGTAGACAAAATTGTTCGTCATCTCCATCGGGACAATCCATCACACCATTGCACAAATCTAAATGAGATATACAAATTGCTGGATGAGTATTCATACAATAAAATCTTCCTAAATGTTCATACAGTCCAGGACATCGTTTTGGTTCATCCGTACCACCAAGACAATCGACATGATCATCATTAAGTTTATCAATGGATAAACATTTCAATTGAAATGTATCTAATGTGACACATATTCGAGTATTAAATGAACAATTGAATATAGTTGATGATAGATCACAATCCAGTTCATCTCTTCCATCCCAACAATTCCAAAATCCATCACAATGGGTGTAAATATTATCACATTCCCATTGTTCGCATTCAGTTTCATCTGTATGATCTTCTTCATTGATTGTAATCGGATACAATTTCTCGAAATTATCACATAGGATTTGAAAAGAAATTGTTCTTTGAGTATAATTCTCATATTTATCTTCATCTTCACATAAATCACCATCATAACCACAATCACATTTTTCATCTGAAATAAATGTTTTCGGAATATATTTTTCGCTATAATAACAATAATAATATTTATCTTTTAATCGAACAAATAATTCCGGATGAATGTCTTCAAATATGTTTTCATCATCATTGTATGGACAATCAGATATATCGTCGATTAAACGATGAAATGCAATACATCTCGATGAATTCATACATTGGTATAAATTAGATGTATTACATCGATTTGAAGGAAAATTAATAATTCGATTGAAATTTTTTATTTGAGAGAAAATCTTATTTATGATATTTATGAATCCAGATGTCGAGTCAGAAACATCAGATTGTTCGATATTTTGAAGTGGAGGAGAAGTAAAGCACATGGTATTATTCAATAATATGCCTGAAACTAGTTTAAGTGATCCATCATGAAAAGATTTGTTCGAACATAAGTAGGGCAAAAGAAGACCCTGTGAGTTCAGTTTATTATCAGTTCTATAAACTGTATAGACATGACTCAATAATAATGGAATATCAGGAACGTATAATACAAGTGGACACTCTCTTCTTATCGTAAATATATATTCTTGAGGATTTGGAAACATAAAATATCTCTTGAAAGCGAACCAACATTCATTCGATA